TTACATGCAAAGTTACTGCAATATTCACTTATTTAATTCATTAAACCTTAATTATGCGTAGTACTTCATTAAAAAGGAACTTAAAATATTTTTTTAAAATGCTTAAATGCTACACTTATCTCAAATTCAAAAATGGAGACCAAAAAAATTTTTTAACAGTTTTTAATGTTGAAAATTGACAAATCGGAGAATTTCAGAAGCTTTTTATAATTTAACTACAACGTCTTGTTGAAAAATAGGTATTGTCGTTGTGAACTGAGGATCAATAGCATCGTACTAAGCCATATAAGATGAAAATTCAGGTAATTTAAATTTTTAGTAGTAGTAGTTGCAAAACTTTAAATACGTCACACTAAAGCTGCCCACTGGGCTACTGTCGACTGTCAGAGAAATATCCCAGAGGATGATCAGAATACATACCATGACAGTTCTGATATTTGCAGACACGATGACGCCCCTGCTTTCATAGCCTTACGAAATGCACGCGAAGTAAAGCATTTTACGATAGAGAGATTTAACAAGGACCGATACCACGCACCATTGGCTCCTTCGTAGACTGATCAAAGTGCTCACCCACCCACTCACTGACCACAGTTAATGATACTTGACTTTATTGATCTACTGGGAACCACGTTTTATGATCCACTATGGGACCTTTTCTTATAAGAGAAATACTACTGAAATAAATAAATGACCAACAGGACTCAAATTCTTAATTCATTTATCAACTGAGAATAATTTTTGTTTTATTGTGATTTTATGTATATTAATTTTTTTTATTTATTGTTGCATAAATTTCTTTTATGTTTAAAGAAATGAATTTGCACATTTAAATGCTATTAATCTATCGTCATAATTACGCAAAATGTACGATACTGTCTATTGTTAAAATTGCACATTCGAAATCTTGGTGAGATGCTGACGATGTGCTTAATGTTAAGATAATATTAGGAATTACGTATTTACAGTGTAAATAGTTTTATACCACTTGACTTGAAGAATTTCTTTGTTATTAATTCGAAGTTAGGTGTAGGTTTTTAAATGATAAAAATGTTTATAGTTTAGTTAACTTTTAAACCCTGATGATAATTAATTGAGAATTTGCTGACGATTTGCCTTCTTACTCATACAGTTAGGCCGGGATAGCCTGGTCGGTAGGGAGCTCATGTCCGAAAATTCGTGGGTTCGAACCCAGCCGGCCGAAGACTCCCCGTCTAGTAAAGTTACTGATGCACGTTAAATCTATCGAGCCGTAAAAGTCCTTCATGTTCCCATAGCAAATCAACATCTCTGGGGGTACTGGATTGGAGATCGATCATTCTCTGATTCAGGTAAAAATTACGATCTGTGGATGAATGAATGGATGTATGAATGGGTCACACCCTATAAACGGGTGTGACGTATGGTGTGGCAGAAGTCGAATTCTTGGCCATAGATGGCGCCACTGGAAAACAAGAACAATCGCACCCCCTCTGCCTAAACAGGCATACTTCAACAACAACACTCATACAGTTACTTCTTCACTTGTTATAAAGAAGCGAATGTGATCATTTTTTTTTAAAGTTTGTCAAAAAATCATACTTAAATTAAGGTTATCATACTTACTTACAATACTTAAATTACTAAACTAAATTTTACTTAAATTGCATTAATAATTTAATTCTTAATTCACGTAGTATTTTTTTAAAATAATACTGATATTAACCTACATTCCGGTTTATATGTGGAATTAAAAATCGTTCAGTTTTCCGTAATATCTTTTTTTAAAGGAAAGAGTTGGGTTTTTTTCCACATTAGCCCCACTACACGAGACTAGCGTGAACAAACTTGATAACCCCCAATCATTTATCACTCTCAAGAAGGTTTATCTATATCCAGCATGAAATAAATTTTAATCTAAGAAGCAATCTTGTCCAATTAATCTATTTCAAACTTATTGGGGAATAAATATTGACATATTTAAATTAAAATACTAATTTCTAATAGAGCAGTTCACCGGTATTAAGAAAGACATTTTCAACCCAAATCCAGACAACATTTATAAACCAAGATTATTCAGTTTAATTTGCTTGGAAAATATTTTAAACTTTTTTTATGCTGTCGAAAAGTTTGACACGTCAGCATAAAACGTATATTGAAATGCATTTCCGATAGTTGTGCTAGTTACTGGAATTAGAAGTTTAGTAACTATTTCTTCTTTTAAGATTTGGTAAATGTCTTTTTCCATGGAAAAAAAGAAAGATTCATGATTAGAAGAACAGCGTCAATTTTTTTTTAAGAACTGAAGATCATAATCTTATCTTTGAGAAAGGATTGATGCATCTTAGGTACTAGATATTGAAAACGTGTTTTTCCGGTCACCATGTAATTTAAACAAAATTGCATACAAAAGAAAAAGATAATTAAATTTTGCATAAAACCACAAATAAAATTTCTATGCCTAAATTTTTAATGAAATTTGTTCCTTAGAAACAAACTAAAATGTACAAAATATTAAAAATAACTCGTCAAAACCACCATTTGTCATACGAACAATCTCTAACATTTTTATTGTTCATTGTAAAATTAAATAATCTCCCTGTAATGGAATTTTGAGAAAAACGAGCTTTTGAAAATGAAAACCAATACAAGAATTCAGATAGTGCTGCGCAGATATTGGAGTTGCACCGTTTTTATAACGAAAGATGTGACTAAACTTGGTACATATTAACACAAAATGCATATTTTGAAAATATAGAGTTACACCCCTTTTACTATTAGCAGCGCATTTACTTCTGGATAAATGTATTTGATAATAAAACTGTACAAATTTTAACAAATATTCACTTATAAGCTATAATATCCCAGTTTATTTTAAAGAATAACATTAAAAGTACTTACCAGAAACAATAGAATCTCTGAAAACAACGCGATTGCCTTTTGCGATGTATTTTTAGATAGCTTATTTCCGCTGCATTGATAAGGACATAACCAATTTTACGTTGCATTAATTTCAATAACCAGTTTTAACTTGATGATGATATGACCCCAAAGATCACCACGCGAGATGCACGCTATTTTTCTCAATGGAACAATGTAAACTACTCACTAAAGAGAAGAAGGGGTCGCTCGCTGGTGTCTGTTTTAGTTTACTGTATGATAAAAATAAATATGTTTTAATTTTTTTCTTTAATTTTATTTAATTATCCATATTGAATTATATTCTTTTAACGAACCTAAAAAAACAACCCCTTTAAGTTTTCGTTAAAAATATTTTAAAAATTGATTAATATAATGGTTTTGCGATGAAGTTGAGGTGATTTTAATTATAGACTATGCCAACCTTCATCTATCAAGCGGTACCTCACGGCAGATTCAAGTTAACATGTATTATATACCAGTGATTCGGTATTTAATATTTGTAGTGGTAGTTACGTCACATTACTCCCCTTCCAGAATTTTATCTGTGATAAAATTCGATGAATGAACACCACTAGTTGAATCATGCTGTTTATTTATTTATTTAAATTTTGCTCATTATATTTTTTCTTCATTTTTTTTAGTTTATAGCATTTTGCTCCTTTTTTTCTTTCTTTTTTTTGTTATTGCATTTTGCTCATTTTTTCTTCGTCTTTTTTATTCCTTTTTTTTTTTTGTTTATAGCCTTTTGCTCGTTATTTTATTTTATTTTTTCAGTATTGTTTATTACCGGGAGACTTTATTTACTTCACCGAATTTTTTTTTCTTTGAGCAGTTTATATTAAGCTAATCAGCTGTTTAATCTGGACCATCCATCATGTTAGCGTGTTCAGATCACGTCCGCAGGTCACCATTGAGGAGATTTATTTATCGATATTGGCTTGTTCCTATCATTTCCGGGATTTTTATTATAGACTATGCCAACCTTCATCTATCAAAAGGTACCTCAAGATAGATTCAAGTTAACATGCCTTATATAGGATTCAATTATCGACTATGTCAACCTTCATCTATCGAAAGGTACCTCTTGATAGAATCAAGTTAACATGCCTTATATACTAGTGATTCGGTATTTAATATTTATAGTTACGACACAATGTGATTTTACTTGAAATTGAGACTACTATTTGTAAAGGTATATCATTCTAATTTAGAAAATAAATAGCTTCAAATGTGTTACATCTGTAACCAATACATATTTCTTACATTGGAAGTTGAATGAGGCTACTGTAGACATGTCCCCTCTAGCCCCACAACCGTGTGTTGATACAAACCACGCGAAGACAACAGTTTGTTTATGAATAATGCTGGTTAATTGAAACTATTCAGAAAGCAAAAATTAATATCAAAATAGGTAAAAAACAGTATCCTATCTATTAGAATCCTATCTAAAGTGTTTTACTACCGAGACAAGTTCTTAAATTGGAGAATAAATTACTATTTGTGATTTAAGGTAAATTGGAATACGTTAGTATTTTAAGATTTTAAGATTTCAAAATGTATGATTAAAGAAAATTTATAAGTTTCAGTTTACTTTCGATTTAAGCCTATTAATTTCTTTGTTTAAAATTTCGAATTAATTTCTTTGCTGCCGTTTTCAAATACTTATTGGGTGTTTGTTTTCAATTCCTAAATATATGTTATTTCACTATAATCACATTCTCTTTGGATTCTCTTCATTTTTATTGTAATGCATGCCAATCAGCAATTGCAATCGATGTTATTTTTTACTTTTTATTTTCCAATTTGGATAGACTGATTTTGAAAAGTAATGAATTTATTCAATATTTTTTCAACACTTTAGAATTTCTATTTTCGTTAAATTCATGAACTTTTGTTCAGTTAAAATTAAAATATTTTAGATTTTATTGTAATTCATATATATATATATATATATATATATAAATATCTCGACTTCTTTCCCATAATAAGTTCACTCCCCATTTCCAAAAAAAAATCGAATAATTATTAATCACAACCTATTATTAAAATACAAAAAGCAAATGAATTAACACATATTATTAAAGTACTGCAACGAGCCGTTATTATTTTTAATTATTTATTAATATATTGCAAAGAGAATAACACGAAGCTTCTCTTTTCTCACTATCTTTCTAACAGGTATCTCAAAGAGATATCATTAATTGAAAAGAATTTCAAATATCGTAAAATATGGAATGGTAGAGTAATATATAAAATTTAATAAGACACGCAGACAACTACAGTTTAAAGAGTATGTAAATTACATTCATAACATTTCTGTTACATTAAATTATAAAAAATTGGACATTGATAGAGAATAACACAAAACTTTCTTTTTCTCAATATCTTTCTAACACGTATCTCAAGGAGATATCATTAATTGAAAAGAACTTCAAATATCTTAAAATATGGAATGATAGAGTAATATATAAAATTCAATAAGACACGCAAACAACTACAGTTTAAAAAATATGTAAATTGCATTCATAAAATTTCTGTTACATTAAATTATAAAAAATTGTACATTAATAGAGAATAACACAATGTTTTTTTTCTCAATATCTTTCTAACATATATATCTCAAATAGATGTCATTAATTGAAAATAATTTTAAATATCGTAAAATATGGAATGATTGAGTAATATATAAAAGTCAATAAGACACGCAAACAACTACAGTTTTAAAAATAAGTAAATTACATTCATAATTCTGTTGCATTAAAATAAAAAATTGTACATTAATAGTATTTTTGTTAATAATTGAAAATTCATTGTTTTTACAGATAAGGTAAAAATGGAATAAAATTTGTACCAAAATTAAGCTCTTATATTTGAACCGGAAGTAGTCGACAGCCGCTGCTGAATTCGTTTGCAGGAAAATAGTTCTAAATATGCCTTCCTGTATTCAGCACCCATCAAAACGTATATTATAGGATTAATCACGTTTGATAGGTTGATACCCAAGTATGATAGAGCAGTAAGCGCAGGGATGTTTGCTTTATTGTCAAACAACTTGACAAGTCCCATTGGAAGAAAGCAAATCACGAAACTAATCGAAATGGTAAACATCACTTTCAAAATTTTCATCTCTTCAGCATCAACGTGATTTGAAGATCCGTCACAGGCTGGATTCACTGAAACGTCAAAACTTCTTAATTGCTTGGATAACTTATAAGTGGACCAGTAAATTCTTGAGTAACAAATCGCAAAGACAGTAATTGGAAGCGCAAAAAAGGTTGTGAAAAAAGAAATTTTGGCCGAATTCGAGTTTGGTCGCAAAAGGATACAAAGTCCGCTTTTTGGATGATATCCATATCTCCCAAAATATCCAAAGAATGGCAAAATGGTGAAGGTTAAAGCACACATCCACGTAAAGGTTATCTGACCAGCTACGTATTTTGATCTGTACATCGAGCGGTACCGTTTTGGGTAATAAACACACATATATCTGTTGATTGTAATTGCTACTAGTAGAAACACTGTCTCGGTACCGACTAATGCTTTGGCTGCTGTAATCAAAACGCAAAAGTAGTGATTATGGTTCCACTCAGGCATGGTGTAATTAATAAAGGTGATGACACAAAAAAGACCATCAGCAATGCAGAGGGTTATGACAAATGTCGTTGTTGGACTTCGTAGTTTCTTGTATGATGCCATAGCAAGTATTGATACCGAATTTCCAAAAATTCCTATGCATGAAATAATAAGAAACGCTATTTGTGCAATTCTTCGCTTCCGTTCCATCTCAGAACTGTCATGCTCATTATTTATGTCCAAAGTCTCATTTGTCAGTGATTTGTTTAAGAAAAGAAACAGAATGCTGCCGACAAATGTAGTATTCATTTTCCTTTGTATAACCTAAAATATGGACAAAATTTACATGTAAATACATAAACCTGAAAACATATCTGATTTTCTAAAATTTGCAAACCTTACATGAGAATACTTTTTGTTAAAAAAATCAAAACAATAAAGTTTTTTTTTGCATAAATAAGCTTCTATCTAATACTAAGCTACATTATCGTTGTTTTAAATGTAAAATTTAGAAGAAAAAAGTTGCTATTAGTCAATTTTGAACTTAAATTCAACTATCTAATGGTGTGCCTTTTTTACAATCATTTTAGAATAGGAAAAACAAGTTTTTGCTAGATTTAATTTTTCTTTTCCTTTGCTTGCTGGATGAAATACTTTTTTTATTTTTTGAAGTTAAGTTTATCTCAAAAATGGAATATTAATTCCTAATTTAAACATAGAATATACCTTTTCTAACTATTCTGTGTATCCATTAAAACACATGATATCAGTCCATCACTAGTTTACCCCTCAGTGAGGTTCAATTGGAATTTTCAATTAGAATGAAGAGTCACTACGTAATTGCAAGACAGTACATGGATTTAAAAAGAATAAAAGACTTACAGAAAAAATTATTTGTTTTCTCCTTATAAGACAGGATGTATCATGAAAATAATGCATTGGATCCGTGGTGGGTCAGAGGATTGAGCCCTCACCTCTCAATTAGAATTAGGTGACCCAGGCTCGAATCCCAGCAATGACTGGTCGATACCAATTCTCCACCTGGCTCGTACCGACTACAGTGCTGACATAAAATAGCCTCAGTGGTAGACGTATCATGGGTTAAAGTCAGGTTAACCGTTAGAGGTTTTCATGGGTTTCCTCACCGTGTAACTCAGATGCGAGTTAGCGGGAAATTGAGTCTGCTGCTCAACGATGATTATAAATAATTATCATTTGAAATACAGAACGAAATATCTAGTACTTCAGATAATTCTTGCGTAGTTTGATTTTTTTTATTTTTTTTTATAATATCCCTCTTGCCCTTCTTCGAAATTTGGAGAAAATATGATTATGATCCTAACAGTGGACTTAACATAATTTTGAGACAAAAAGGAACATAAGCATTTTGTTTTATATCTTTCTTCGCGTTTCCAGTGATTGTCCTTGCGATTTGTTATCTAAGAATTTTTTGGGTCGCTTCAGAAGCTGCTAAACAAGTAAAGGAATTTCTGTAACTGCAACGCGGCAAAATTAAATGCCGTAGCAACTTAATCAGGTGATTGGATTCAGAGGGGCGATAATTCTTGTCAATAATAAAAATATTAAAATTTAAAAGTAATGTTAGTCATCGTGGCTGCTTTTACTATTTGTTATTTCCCAATGATGCTTATCAATTTTTTTGGCAATAATGTTCAAAATTGGCTGTTCAACGATTGTTGTAAAATATAAAATAAAACGTAAAGCTTTGTATAATATTAAATCTATCTTTCATCAAGGAATAAAAATTCATGATTTTTTGAAAAATTCTAAAATGAGACTTCGTAGAAAAACCTTCCAGCATGGCAGCTGGCCCTGCAGATTATTTTATATCTCATATTTCAAAAATAAAAATTATCATAGCATCTGAATATAATTTTTTTCATCACAAATTTAGAGAATAAGCTTAAAGTATGAAGGAGAAGTTAGAGAGGAAAAACAGTTGATTAATTTTTCGGTTCAATTCAATTAATATTAGTTTTAGATCCTTAAAAAATTGATTCCCAATCTTCAGATACATAAGCAATAGAAAAGTGATAATTTAAAAAAAATTGTAAATAATGTTCCTTAACTATCAGGAATCACGAAAAATAAAGAATTTAAAAAACAAGAAATATATAATCGATAAATTCTCAATTTCCGAAAATTCTAATTACGTATAGGTACTTATTCCATCGTTTAAATTTCGATTATTTTATTAAACCATTTATTTCAAAGTGCAGGAAATTTTTAATTAAAATTTTTTTTTTCAGTTTAAAAATTTTTTTTTCGTGCGATTAATTTTTTTTTACATTATGTGCTCTAAATTTGCTACCATGGCCGTTAAAAGATGGAATATTGACTACAGTTGGATGATGTGAGCTAATTTTGCTTGCACATATGTTGCATTTAGCCAATGCTAGTCTCTGAGCCATAGTGGCTGCGGGGATAGAGCTTTCTAATTTGGGTGCGGATCCCAGCAATGGTTGGTAGATACGAATTCCGTACAGCTAAATTATAACTTTATTTAATCATGAAAAGAGTTTATTGCTCGTTATATCAGCTAAGCTCAATGATCAACGTGATCGTTGTAGCTACGGCATCAAATTAACCTTTTTAAAATTGTCTGAAACTGGGTGTTTAATTTTCGCACATGATTACGCTTTGAAACGTATTTCAATAAAACTAAGTAATTCAAAATCAACGGTAACTGAATTAAAAATAAAAACTAATTACGCAATAAGAAGCAAAATTGATGGCACTTATTCGCTTCGTGAAACCGCGTAAACTTGTCGTATTGCTTCTAATGGTGCTTTATTAGTTTTGATAATACTTTCTGCTGGTATTGTGGTAATGGGTGCAGTTTTAATAAGTTTTTAAAAAAGGTAGGTGGCCAGGCATTTTTGAATTGGAAGATGCCATCTGGTTGAGGCTGTAATTGGTTTTCTTGGAGACATTGGCAAAAATATCATGCAAAATTACGGCAAAATAGTACTGGAACTATGGGTGCAGTATCCGTAAAATCCATTTTAACAGTAAAATTTTATACCATAAGTTTTACAGTTACATTTCTTTAATTACCGCAGTTCAGTGTTTTTTCAGTAAATATTGCAGTTTATAAAAAAAATACTCTTTATCAGATTTTTTGTTCCGTCAAGTTTCAAGGTGAAAAATACTTTCACCCAATTTTACCGTAATTTCCTCCTGGATTTTTTAGAGTGTATAAACTATTGAGTACGAATAAATTTGAATTTCGATACGAAATTTCCAAAAACCTATTGATAAATAGTATATTAATTAAACTAAGTAATTTGCAATTTTCATTTATCGATACATTTTTTATAGTTGCGAAGAAAACATTGTAACTAATCCAAGTATCACAAAGAAGAAAGTGTTATAACTAGACATTTCTTACAATAAGATAAAACATTAATTGAAACTAAAGAGTAATTGCAAGCATTTTTTTTTTCTAAAGTATATTTTATACAGTTGTCCAGTTTTAACAGTGCGCCCATGGTCTGATTCATTCTTTAACCAGTTAATTCAAAGAAAAGTCATTTTTTTAGTTATTTATACTTTAATTTCTTCAAAATATCATTTACAGTATAATAAATTTTACATTCTTAAATGAATTTAACAAAAATATTGGTTTTTCTACAGCCATAAGTGGCACAGTAAGAAAATAGTGTTTGACATCTTCTTTTATTAAAAACGACTTCAATTTCTTTTATTTAAAAACTGTTTTTTATTATAAGTGTACAAACATCTTCATCCTAAAAAGCATAAATGACTAATTTAATATTTGTTTCTTTAATTTATGAACTAACAGTTAAAAATGTAATATACCTTCGGTTCAAAAAAAGTAAGAAAACCAAATCCCTTTACCCTGAGATATTGAATAATAATAAGCATGAATAAAGTGAAGTCTGTAGCTCTTTCTACATTTGTGTCAGTTGAGGTGAGTGAGACAACTTTTTGTTTTAGCTATAATTTACTTATCCAACTTATGAGCATTTAATTTTTGCGTTAGTTAACTAACGTAAAGCTAGGATCTACAGCTACACTCCATGTTTACATGTCTGTAACATTTCTAACTCATGTAAATTAAAGACAAAAAAAGTTTAGGCGACGATTAAAATTGTGTCTACCGTTAAGAGTAAAAAAAGAAAACAAAATATTTTTTTTAGAAACAGAATAAATTTGACTCCTGTTATGCATTTTACAGATATCAATATTTTTTACCAACATATGTAATTCTATAATTTCTTAAGATAAATGCAGACGTTTTTAAAGCAGGAATAGAAGATTTTTGAAAATTAAAATTATTAAAGAATTTTACTCCTAGTCTATCCTTGGGAATATTAAAAAAAAAATTCTTTGGGGGAAATTTGGTGGTCTTTGTTGCCCTATACAGTATAATGCTAAATTAATGGCAGCAACTGATCACGTGTGATAAAATAAAACAATTGGTATTAAAAATTGTTTATCAGTCGCCATCCGTTCGCCACTTTTTCATCGAAAATGCAATCCATGTAAATTATTTCCGTTTTTTTTAATAAATATGAAATTATTATAAACATTTTACAATATTCAGAAAATTATTTTATTTCACGCTCGTTTCTTAAAATTTTTCTTAATTTTAAATGTGACTCATATTATATGAAATGCTTCAAAAGATATGCCTTAAGGTCTGGTTTCTTAGGACAAGCGCCTTATCTGGGCGTCAGCGGGACGTCAACGTCACGCTGACGCCAACAAAATACTGGTTTGTTAGCTCAAGGCCTGGTTTCTTAGAACTAACGCTTTATCTGGGCGTCAGCGGAAAGTTGACGTAGATCTGACGCCAAAAAAATACTTTTTTGTTAGCTCAGCGTGAGCAGTCGGTCCAACGCAGACATTATCTCTCATTGCGCATGCGTTAATAACGTAAACAAATATTTATTTTGAATTTGTATTGATTTTGTTATTGTCGACCAGTGTTTTAGAGAACAAATAATGACTTTGTCCAAGAAAAAACACATTATAGCTGAGCTAAATGAAGAGTGCTATGTTTAAAGAAGAAGCTATGTTTAATGTCAAAATCAAAATCTTGGCTGATTTCAATGTGCAACAGGATGTTGTCCGCCATTGCTTCTGTGGTTAACGTCACGTTGTAATCAAACTGCAGTTGAGTTGGACGGTAATTGTAGTTCAAGATGAGCGTTCGATGACGTATACTATCAAACTCACAAATGGACCAATCAGAGGTTAGCGCTGATTTCCAGCTGACGGCGTCCTGTCCTAAGAAACCAGGCCTTTACATTGTTAATATCAACAGTTTTTTTTAATCGCTTAAAATTTTGAATTTAAAAGAAAATAACCACACGTTTTAAGAAGTAGCCACTGTTAAAAATGACCACTGACCAATTTCAAAATTTTCTAATTTTGCCTTTTACTGAGCAGGAAGCAACAATGAGTTTAATTATTCAGAAAAAAAAATTAAATGGAAATATTATCAATACCATTTGAGATTGTATTGAGAGAAAAAATTAAAGTTAGTTAAAATTAAGATTTTTATTTTATTTACGTTTTGAAAAGTACAAATTGATGATGAAACTATTAGAATTATGTAAAATAAATTTACCTTAAAAGTCTAAACAGCTTTGAAATGTGTGATCTAAAACTCCTCTAAAGCAAGGAACATTGACATTGTCAGAAGGTTTACAATCAAAACTCTAAATAGTGTTTCTAAAATTAGCGTGTCAAAATTATGTAGAAAATTGCTAACGTTATCCTGTCAGCTTATAAGTGACTCCGGATGACGGTATTTACTCTTGTGCAAGCAAAAATCCGTTAAATATGGATTCTTTTTTTGGATTCTTGCTCATTGTGAAATAAAAAGATGACATTGAGAATTCATGTTGGTGCAGATAGCGGATATCGACCTTTTTTCAGCTTGTTTTCAAATTCACACCGCTTATTTACATAAAAATCGTTATTACTATCTTTTTCAGTGATTTTTTAAATTATAAATTGTATAGCAATTACGTAATTTAGCATCCATTAATAAATATCTTACTACAAATCATTTATTTGAATATTGTTCGCAAACGCATTGCCTAGGAATGCAAAAAATGCACCTCTAAATTGTACGATTTTTTTTTACAATAAAGGTGCAGGGTTTTCCTTTCTCTCTCCAAAACGTTTTATTTGCGCATGATACATATAACGCGTCACCCTGTAAAGCATTTAAGCTATTGTTCGTCATCACTGTCAATGGCCAAACACTGGTTATTTACGCAAATGCAATATTAGTCAGAAGGTGTACTTCAATAGCATTTGAGTGTAGTTAAAATTTTATCAAAATAGCATAGACTATAGCATGCGACACATTGCAAAACCTCAAAAAAATGACGAATATACCAAATATGGTGTTTTGATGAGCTTGACTTCTTACCGTAAAGAGATTTACCCCTTTTGAGATGAAGCACTGATAAGTTCATCATTCGATGAGGTTGACACTACACTCTAAAAACTGTACCGCTGATTTCAGAGGCACATTTGGATCGTTTGTGCCTCTGAATTTTAAGGGCACAACGTGCCTTTAAAAATGAAAGGCACAATGAACCTCTGATTTCAGAAGCAAAAATCAGATGTACCACTTAGCTTGAAAGGTACATTGTACCTTAGATTTTGCTTTTATGAACCACTCATTGAAATAAGCATTTAGTGGTACCAAAACCTGTTATTTACCACATTTGAACACACTTTTTTTTTACCCATTTGTAATTTGCTTGCACTTCATATAAAAAGGGGTTTACACTATTACCAAGATATTAATTATAATAAGTCTTAATGAAAAATATTTCTGAATTCTTTGAATATTGGCCACTTGAGGTGATCATCTCAAGGGATTCCATCTAAGGCTTTTTCATAGGCAATTATAAAATATGTAAATTTACGCAATTTCTTTAATTATGTAGCGTTTAATGATACTTCAACAATTACAATGATGTTTTTCTAATCAGATATAGGTATAAAAAAATAATATTTATTTCTGTTTATTCCAAGTCAATATAATTCATGGATTTTTTTCCAAAAAGTTATCCTCAAAATGGAAATTTCTTATAAATTTAGATATTTTTTAAATATTTAGAGATTTAATAAAATAGCTTTATAAGAATCAAAATTAAACACTAAATATCATGAAATCTAATATCTTTTATTTTCACACATAAAGAACAATATTACATAATTTAGTAACAGTTGCACACAAATATGGAAAAATATAGAACTTTCACAATATTTTAAAATTATAGATGTAGATTTTGAACAATTTGTATGTTTTATAACATCAAATATGTTTAATCAAATGACTTTACAAGTGTAAAATCAAAGATTTCTTTCTATTGAAATGAATTTTTTTTTAAAAGCCTGATTTTGGCGAAGCATATTAACCCATTAGGCGCCATCATTCCCATTTTGGGAACATTAGCTTTCAATTTTTTTAGAACTAACTGTACTTAATATTATTTAATCGATGATTTTATTTGAGCTCAGAATATATGAAAAGCCTTCTGCAATTTTTTTGGAAAGCTTGTTTCAGAATTTTTTTTTA